CAAATTTAAATTTCTCAGTCAAAAACTAATGAATGTATAAATATGAAATTTGGAGAATTTATTTTTAAAAGTTTGAAGTGAAACATACTAAAAATTCAAGGCGATTGGGCGATAAACAATAAAGTTATGAAGTTTTTGAGTTGGACATTTTTTGAGTAAACTTTACATTGACAATCCTCCAAGTTTAAATTTCTCAGTCAAAAACTAATAAATGTATAAATATGAAATTTGGAGAATTTATTTTTAAAAGTTTGAAGTGAAACATACTAAAAATTCAAGGCGATTGGGCGATAAACAATAAAGTTATGAAGTTTTTGAGTTGGACACTTTTTGAGTAAACTTTACATTGACAATCCTCTAAGTTTAAATTTCTCAGTCAAAAACTAATGAATGTATAAATATGAAATTTGGAGAATCTATTTTTAAAGGTTTGAAGTGAAACATACTAAAAATTCGAGGCGATTGGGCGATAAACAATGAAGTTATGAAGTTTTCAAGTTGGACACTTTTTGAGTAAACTTTACATTGACAATCCTCCAAGTTTAAATTTCTCAGTCAAAAACTAATGAATGTATAAATATGAAATTTGGAGAATTTATTTTTAAAGGTTTGAAGTGAAACATAGTAAAAATTCAAGACGATTGGGCGATAAACAATGAGGTTATGAAGTTTTCAAGTTGGACACTTTTTGAGTAAACTTTACATTGACAATCCTCTAAGTTTAAATTTCTCAGTCAAAAACTAATGAATGTATAAATATGAAATTTGGAGAATCTATTTTTAAAGGTTTGAAGTGAAACATACTAAAAATTCAAGGCGATTGGGCGATAAACAATAAAGTTATGAAGTTTTTGAGTTGGACACTTTTTGAGTAAACTTTACATTGACAATCCTCCAAGTTTAAATTTCTCAGTCAAAAACTAATGAATGTATAAATATGAAATTTGGAGAATTTATTTTTAAAAGTTTGAAGTGAAACATACTAAAAATTCAAGGCGATTGGGCGATAAACAATAAAGTTATGAAGTTTTTGAGTTGGACATTTTTTGAGTAAACTTTACATTGACAATCCTCCAAGTTTAAATTTCTCAGTCAAAAACTAATAAATGTATAAATATGAAATTTGGAGAATTTATTTTTAAAAGTTTGAAGTGAAACATACTAAAAATTCAAGGCGATTGGGCGATAAACAATAAAGTTATGAAGTTTTTGAGTTGGACACTTTTTGAGTAAACTTTACATTGACAATCCTCTAAGTTTAAATTTCTCAGTCAAAAACTAATGAATGTATAAATATGAAATTTGGAGAATCTATTTTTAAAGGTTTGAAGTGAAACATACTAAAAATTCGAGGCGATTGGGCGATAAACAATGAAGTTATGAAGTTTTCAAGTTGGACACTTTTTGAGTAAACTTTACATTGACAATCCTCCAAGTTTAAATTTCTCAGTCAAAAACTAATGAATGTATAAATATGAAATTTGGAGAATTTATTTTTAAAGGTTTGAAGTGAAACATAGTAAAAATTCAAGACGATTGGGCGATAAACAATGAGGTTATGAAGTTTTCAAGTTGGACACTTTTTGAGTAAACTTTACATTGACAATCCTCTAAGTTTAAATTTCTCAGTCAAAAACTAATGAATGTATAAATATGAAATTTGGAGAATCTATTTTTAAAGGTTTGAAGTGAAACATACTAAAAATTCAAGGCGATTGGGCGATAAACAATAAAGTTATGAAGTTTTTGAGTTGGACACTTTTTGAGTAAACTTTACATTGACAATCCTCCAAGTTTAAATTTCTCAGTCAAAAACTAATGAATGTATAAATATGAAATTTGGAGAATTTATTTTTAAAAGTTTGAAGTGAAACATACTAAAAATTCAAGGCGATTGGGCGATAAACAATAAAGTTATGAAGTTTTTGAGTTGGACACTTTTTGAGTAAACTTTACATTGACAATCCTCCAAGTTTAAATTTCTCAGTCAAAAACTAATAAATGTATAAATATGAAATTTGGAGAATTTATTTTTAAAAGTTTGAAGTGAAACATACTAAAAATTCAAGGCGATTGGGCGATAAACAATAAAGTTATGAAGTTTTTGAGTTGGACACTTTTTGAGTAAACTTTACATTGACAATCCTCCAAGTTTAAATTTCTCAGTCAAAAACTAATGAATGTATAAATATGAAATTTGGAGAATCTATTTTTAAAGGTTTGAAGTGAAACATACTAAAAATTCAAGGCGATTGGGCGATAAACAATGAAGTTATGAAGTTTTCAAGTTGGACACTTTTTGAGTAAACTTTACATTGACAAGCCTCTAAGTTTAAATTTCTCAGTCAAAAATCAATGAATGTATAAACATGAAATTTATTTTATTTACAACCACATACGTAATGTTGACATTTCTGACTTTCCAAAAGTTTGAAAGTGACACTTTTTTGAATTTTACTTTCCACCCGGGTGGAAAGTAACTTCTCATTTCCTAAAATGTTTAAGACGAGTCCTGCATGTCAAACGTTTTTTTAGATGAGTCAGAACTTGTCAACAAATTTTTAAAAAAATTTTTAGTATTTAGTCGAAATTATGAGGTTTGTAATTGTTGTAAATAAAATAGTATACAAACCTCGGTAGGAAGTTTCATTCCTATCTCGAGATTATAGTTAACTTCGACGCTTCGCGTCTCAGTTAACTAACTGATCTCTCGACAGTAATGAAACACTTTCCACCTCGGTATGTAATATACTATTTAAAGGTTTGAAGTGAAACATACTAAAAATTCGAGGCGATTGGGCGATTAAACAATGAAGTTATGATGTTTTCAAGTTGGACACTTTTTGAGTAAACTTTACATTGACAATCCTCCAAGTTTAAATTTCTCAGTCAAAAACTAATAAATGTATAAATATGAAATTTGGAGAATTTACTTTTAAAGGTTTGAAGTCAAACATACTAAAAATTCGAGGCGATAGGGCGACAAATAGTAAAATTATGAAGTTTTTTTAAATTGGGCAGTTTTTAAGTAAACTGTACATTGACAATCCTCCAAATTTAAATTTTTCAGTCAAAAAGTAATGAATGTATAAATATGAAAAATGGAGAATTTATTTTTAAAGGTTTGAAGTAAAACCTACTAAAAATTCGAGGCAATGGGGCGACAAACAGCAGAGTTATGTTTTTTTTTTAAACCGGACACTTTTTGAATAAACTTTACATTGACAATTCTCCAGGTTTAAATTTCTCAGTCAAAAACTAATAAATGTATAAATATGAAATTTGGAGAATTTATTTTTAAAGGCTTGAATTCAAACATACCAAAAATTCGAGGTGATAGGACCACAAACATCAGTAAAATTATGAAGGTTTTTTAAATCGGGCACTTTTTGAGTAAACTTTACATTGACAATCCTCCAAGTTTAAATTTCTCAGTCAAAAACTAATGAATAATGTACAAATATGAAATTTGAATGATCTATTTTCAAAGGTTTAAACTAAAACATATTAGGCGACAAATAGTGAAGTGACCTGAAAATAAATGAGTTGTTGAGTAACTATATAGTCAGTAAATATTTTGATCTGGAAATGAGTGGGTTTTTGGACTAACGAGTAGAGATTTTGAATTGAAAATAAGTGAGTTATTGAACTTATGAGTAAATTGTTGTACTGAGTGATTGTCTATATTTTGCACCCACACCTATCTCACCTGTTTGAAGAGATACCTAGAAATGTCTAATATGAAAGTTGTAGGTAATATCAGAAAGTTTTCAATGATGTTAGTTACAGGGTGTCACAAAAGTGAGGCGAAGCAAAGTTATACTTTTTTAACTGGAACGGAAAACCCCGAGTATTATTGTCCCATTGGATTAGCCTTTCAAACCTGATTCCAAATAAGTATAGGTACTAGGTTTTTCAGGTTTAGTCCAGCCTCTAAATATTCCATTTTGAAAAAAATAAAATGGATTTTTTATATGAATGATTACCTTTATATTTTGCTGGTGGTTTCTATTACCTTTTTTAATAAAATATGCAATTATTCCACCCCTTTTTGTCCCATTTTCTCCTGGACTATAAGGAATAAACTTTAAAAACCTAGTATATTTGAATCAGGTTTGAAAAGCTAATCCAATGGGACAATAATATACGGGGTTTTCCATTTCAAAAAGTATAACTTTGCTTCGCCACACTTTTGTGATACACCCTGTATACATGTAACTAATATCATTGAAAACTTTCTGATATTATACCTACAACTTTGTCATTCGACATTGTATCTCTTCAAACAGGTGAGATAGATGTGGGTGCAAAATATAGACAATCACCCAGTATTTTTTTACTCTAAAAACGAAAAATTCCCTAAGAATAATCCAGAAAGCGCCAATAATGCTCCTAATAAAAAAATAAGTTCTTGAGAAAGCTGAAGAGTTTATTTCTGCATAAGCTCGGAATTTTATTTCGAAGATCAAAAGGAAAATCTTTCAAAAGTAGTTTTCCATAAATCTGCAGCACGCGCTATAATGCTAAACCTTTGAAGTATAAAAATGCCCATATTAAAAAAAAAAAAATGTCTTTCGGTAATATTCTGCCCTATAGGAAGCAATTAATTGGATTTTTCGTAAAATACTAATTGAATCGCATTTGAAAGTATAATTTAGAAAAATACTTCAGGCAACTTTTTAATCATCTTTTAAGTCTTTTATAACTATGTAAAACTTCTGAAGATAAAAGTTTTAACTCTGGCCATTTGCAAATCCCCATAAATTCCCACAAAATTAAAACCTCCTTATCGAAGGTTAACCATAGGATAATTCGGTTACCGTGCATCAAAATTTCAGCTGCATCGTTGTAACGTGTAACTAGATTATCCGGGGACAAGCTGCTTTAATCTTAATTAATTTGAATAGATTAATTATGGTTCATCTCTGCAATGGCGCCATGGCTTTTATGTATAATAACACGAGCCAGATCTAATAAAGGCCAAGGTTTTGTAGGTACATTGATAGCAATAATTCAATACCAATTTGACAAAACGTTAATTAACAAAGTCAATATTTTATTGAAAAATCTTACGTGGTAGTACTCTCGTTCTGGATTATCAGAATTTTTGAATCTTGTTTTATTTGTATCATCGGTACGGTTACTGTGAAGGTGTTTTTATCATCGGTGGTCTATTTATTTTTCTTTTCTTTTATGGTGTAAAATAAAAATTTTAATTGCTGGATACTTCTCTTTGTGTTTTGTGGATTAACTAGTGATGGAAAATGGTTTCTTGAAGATTTACGGTTAGGAATTTACGTTTGAAGTGCTATTTTTAAGTTGAAGGTAAAAAAAATAGTGTCTGGCGTTTACTTTTTTTTTTGAAAAACAAACTTGTAGAAAAATTATAAAACATAAAGGTGAAAATGTTCCTTCTTTGATGTTTCCGCTTATACACTAAAACTTTTCGAACATCGTGCGACATTTTTATGCCTGACTCTGCACTAAAGACCTTTTAAACTTTAATGGCCCATCAACTATAAAGAATTTAATTTTATCGGTTCTATTATCATAAAACTAACATCAAGCCAGAAGGGGTTTAAAGTTTAATTTGGCATGTTCAAAGTTACTTAGAAACCAGTAATCGTAACAAAATAATTAAACAGGTGAAAAACAATTATGACAAATGACAAAGCCAGAGATGTTAGGTAAAAGAAAATTTCTTACAAAAGTGTCAGTTGCAAAAACTGTCCTCGAAACCATTTTACGTAAGTCCAATAATTCAATAAATATTGTCTCCTTTTTATTATCTTTACTCGTTATCCTTTTCTGATCCAAAAACATCAAAAGAGCATCACATTAATTTTGTTCTAGCTACCCACTCTAGTAGAAATACGTGAGGGATTTTTACAAAAGAAAAAAAATGTGCGTCATTGTCTTTTTGAGTTTCCTAAAAAAAAATTGTCTGATAAAGAAAAAGGACAGCTTTATTTACTACATAAGCATCAAAACGGCCTTTGGTCCAAAAATAAACTTGTCTTCCTCCAAATTATGGACATTTAATTTTGACGGAGGAGCTTGGAAGTTTTAATGAAAATTTAATTTCGTTTTTAACATGTCGTCGGCTTTTGTTGGTGACTTATAAAGGATCTCGCATACTTCTTATGGGATTTCTGACCGCGTTTAGAAAATATTCCAAAAATGTTCCAGAAATTGAAGATAACCCTATTTAAAATATTATTTCTTCAAATCTTAACTTTTAAAAAAAATGTTTACTGAATAAAAGTAAATGTTGCAACCTTGTCTGCGCCATCAAATTCAGAGGTGACCGCATTCGACCACAAGGAACGGTACTGCGAACGGGAGATAGAGAAGACGCAACTAAGACGCGTGTCTGTAATTATTCATTAATCAATTTTCATTTCTATTTTGCATTAAAATTGATTGTTCAATCCAATCTGTTATTAGTGTGTGTGTAAGGAGCGTTCACAGGTTAGTGGATTAAACGTTATTTTGTTTTTGAGTGTTCAATTTATGCAAGTTCCTATTATTTTATTCATTTTTATGTATTTTTTGTTTGTTTATAACATTTTTCATAACATGTGCATTGTTCATGTATTTAACAAAAATCGTTTCATACTGTAAACAACACAGATAAAGAAGTTTTTTCTGGGCTATAATGCCGTGGTCCATTAGTATTTCTACCTAACGTTTCGTCCATTTCGTCTACTGCTGCGGTAGACATCTTCAGAGGCGATGTGGTAGAGGACGAAGTGTTCTCTTCCGTGTTTCTCCGATTACGGTATTTTCCTTGTCTCGTTCTCGGAAAGGAAGGGTCTTTGTTTTTCGGAGAACTGGCAACCAGCTTTTGTTGAGGTTCATGCCCTCTTCTTTTCTGTTGAAGTTGTTGTGGTGTTTCTGTATCTCTATGGCTTCTCTGTGGAGCCTGGTAAATCAGAACCTAAGAAATTATGTGCTGTCTTTTTGTGCTGAGATTTTGATTTTGTGGATTAAGAGCGTGCATTAGGGCCTTGTTGAATTTACTAACATTTTCCTACCGTGACGAGAGAATATCCTAGCAAATTGAAATAATCAATCTAGAGATATTGGCCCAAAAACAACTATAGGTGAGTAGCTTCCCGTATGGGACCTCAGTACCTGCTGGGAAACTGGCTAAGTTTAATCTTACTAAACGAACCCGGGTATGTTATACTAGAAAATGTTTTAACTTTTATCTATAAAGCGAAAAATAAGAATGTTTTCTCAATTATGTTCGTTTATTAGTAGTTGTCTACTTTCATTTTCACCTTTACAGGTTTACCTTTGACATTTGTCAAATCACCAAAAACAGTTGTATTATAGATTCATACCCTAGTCCATAACACTACTAGTTGTGTTATGAATTCATAACCTAGTCCACAACACAACTAGTGTTATGAGTCTCATAACATAACTTAAATACTTGAAAAATGGTTTTGTAAAAACGTCATAACCAAACACTTAAAGTAAATAAAGACACACCCCCGCGGTTTCCACTTGATGAAATTTCATTAAGTAAAATCAAAAAAAAAATGTTAAGAATTTTTCCTATTTTTTAAGGCAAACATTTGTCTTCAAAATCACTTGACGAATTTTTTTGTTCCCTAAATATTTTATGCCAAAATAAATAGATTTCTTGTCAACAATCCAGATGAGTATAATCAAACTTTGGTATAATCATCAATTATCCCCTTTCAAGATTTTCTGCTCTGTTGAACGAATGATGTTTTATTGTTTCAGGATTAATCTTCCCTCATAATTTGTACCCCAGTGTATTAAAATTTTAATGCTGCAATTTTCTTTAAACAAATATCATTAAATCCTGGAGTTCGTTAAACATTCAATTAATTTCGATAGAATCAAAAATCGATCAATCATTACCCAAATTCACGCCCAATAACAACTATTCAATTGAATATCAAGGCAAATCCAAAGACATTTCAATTCAAGCTTGTTTACTAAACAGGATCCCATACATAATCATTCGATTGATTGCCTATAAATACCAACGTTGATTAGGGTTTTATGTGTCAGATCCTATAAAATAATTCAACATAACATAATATGATAGACATTTCCATTTTAAATTTCTTCTCAAAAATAAAACCGTTGTACCTATATACGTCTGCAAGTTATTGCTTAATAGTATGTGGCATTTGGGAAAGTGCCTGGAAGATTTCTATTTTATGATTTAGGAAATTTATTGTTGCCGGGTGAAATTTGGGGCTTGAGAATAATTTCTGCAACTGACAAGAAGAGTGATATTTGTATATGTGTAAAAACATTATATTGCTTCTTCGTTTTTGCTGAAAATTACAATTATATTATTATTCTTTACTACGCAATTCTTCGAAATCAAAAATTCTGTTATCGAAAAACGTAAATCGAGAAATAAAATGTGCATTCACGGGCATTTTTGCTCTCTTCGGTAATACGGAAATAAATTTTACGAGGCGTATTTTACGTTTCGTTTAAATCTTACGCTGGTATTACGGTAGTGGATGTGATATAAAGCAAATGTATAGTGATTTTTCTGACATTTAAAGTTGGGTATTTTTATGTGGCAAAAGAGGAAAGAAGGTGCTACATAGAAAGAGTATATTATAATGTATAAGGTTTTTCCATACCTTATTGAAAACTTTTTTGGTATATTTAGATGAAGTTCAAGGTTTTATCTTTATCTACATTCTACATTCATCATTGTGAGGGAAACCGCACCTATTTGAAATATTATTTCTCCAAATTTTAAATTCTTTAAACGTTTACTAAAGAAAAGTAAATGTTGCAACCATATATAAAATTAATGCAAATTTCAAGCTTTAAAATAAAAAATCAGCCAAGATACAGTGAGTAAAAAAATGTTTTTGTATAATGGGGGAGAGAAGGGGGCTCTTCTTGATTTCAGAAAGGGGGCGCCGAAGAAAAAAGTTTGGGAACCACTGGTCTAGAAGCTTGAAAGTAAGTAAATTTAATGCCCAATCTGGCAACTATTCACTTTCAATTCCATTTCCTGGAAGTTTTAGACTTGAGCCTTTGGCACTTTTCCACAAACTATTTATTTTCAAAATTCAATTTGTTACTATTCCCGGCTCTTGATTGGTTTGAATTTATAGAAACATTTTAATTAAGAGGAATCAAAATGCCTCAATTAAAAGCCAGGAAAAGACAAAAACTGAATTTGAAATTGAGTGAATTTAATGCACAATCTGGCAACATTTCACACTCAATTTGGTTTTCTGGAAGTTTAAAGCTACGTTTACATTCAATTGGAATTACTTGACAGTTGAACGACTGGCAGTTTACATTGAAATTTTTGCGGGAAAAATTGTGCTTTGTACTTGACCAAAACAAAACATTGAGCCTAACCTTCAAATTTGTAATTTCGAATTTTTTCTTGTTCATGTCAAGCTGCTTGTACCAATTTGAATTGGAAGGGCGCGTGACCTAATTTGCAAAATAGACAACGGTACAGTTTACCATAAGACAAGCTCCAAAATTTCACTTCCAATTTAAATTGGAATTGAATGTAAACGTAGCTTTAGACTTGAGCCTTTGACACTTTTACACAAATTATTTATTTTAAATATTCAATTTGTTGGTATAACCGGCTCTTGATTGGGTTAAATGTATAGAAACATTTCAACCACAATTAATCAAACTGATCCAATCAAAATCCAGGAATAGGGAAAAGTTGAAATTTTCAAAAATTCTAGTTAAACATTTTTTTTTTACTACTAACCTGAAAAATAATCATTATTCAATCTATTTTTCTAAGAAAAAAATTAATTTCTCTCCCTAGGTGAATGATGAAAATAATGAAAAAATACCTAGGTCAATAATGAAAATGACGTCATGATGCAAGGATATTGTCATGTTTCTATTGGTTCAATTTCAATTTTATACGTCAATTAAAAAAAAAAAAACAGGTTTCTGTAGGTACATAGGAAGTTATCATAAGCTGTTGATAGAGGGCAGCACTTTCAAGAGGACGTTCAAAAAAAAATAATTAGAGCACAGATTTTAAACAAATTTTCTATTTTCTACTAGCAGTAGTAAAAAAAATTCTATATATTCCTCGGTAGAGAAAGTCATTATATACATCAAGCATTAAAAGCGCTCGGTATATAATGACCAACTTCTCTACCTTGGTATATAATATACTATTATAATGTAGATACAATAATTGTATTCTCTAATAACAAATACCTGCCTAAATGATAATTAATTTTATTGATTAATACTCCCATGGCTTCTAGTCGATAGCATAGGGCCCTTATCTCACAAATGAATTCATTTTTGAGATAAGT